AATGATAGTCAAGCACCCTTCAGGAGCTTACTGCCACTGAGCCTAGCCTGTGCCAGCCATCCCTGCTGCTTGCTCAGAAAAAAAAGCAGTTATTTTGAGCTTAGGGGAGCAAAAGAGGCAGCAGCGGTGGAACTAATAATTTATTACCAAAGGCAATCGGGAGATCTGCTCTCTCAACAGCAAATGGAGCAGAAAGCAAAACCCAGAACACGAAGGCTTGCCAATGCCGCTGTGCCACTCAGAATGGCCAGAACAGAAAGAGAAGGAGAGATAGTGGGGAAAGAATGTGGGCTGGGAGGATGGCGTGTGTATGCTTGAACATAGAGCAATAAGAGAGAAGGCAGCCTTTCCTTCAACCTGCAAATGTATTGGGATTACAATGGACAGACTGGAGAGGGATGCTGGGCATTGTACTTCCGACACACCTGGAGGATGCCTGGATGGAAAAGACTTAAACAGTGGTTTCCAAACTTTGATCCTCCAGATGTTTTGGACTTCCGCTCCCAGAATTCCTGACCGTTGACCAAACTGGCTGGGACTTCTGGGAGCTGACATCCAAAACACCTTGAGGACCAGAGTTTGGGCATCACTGGACTAAAATATATCACCCAGAAAAAGAGAAATGGAAAATAAGACTATATTGTTTGGTCTTTAGTGGGTCATCTGGAGAGGTCCTCCTGGTGGTGCCACTCCACTCCACAGTCCTTTGAGGCAAGGCATTGGGCATGGTGGCACCCACCATTTGGCACACCAATCTCTTCAATCCTCCAACAATTTTTTATTTCTCGATGCCTGTTGAAAATGCTTCTACAGCCTTCCCTGTACAGTTCAACCTAGTCCACCTGTTTCATGGACAGCATGAATAACTGTATACTAGTTTGTAAAAACAAAAATAATGACCATGCCATGATTTTAAATCTTCAGGTCTATGCGATTTATGCATATTCATAAACAGATGAGTGCATGCAGACAGCAGAACAACAAGCCAAGATGTGGGATAAATGACCACCAAACGGAAATATTCAGTTGCCCACTAGATTGTGAACATATACCACTGACCACCCAAAAGGGGAACGGTGGTTAATGATGGGTGGATTTAAGAGTCCCACACTTTCTGGAGGGTGCTGGGAACATAACACAGCCAATCTAGACCACACTCCCTCATCCCAACTACCATGCAAGGGAAGAAAATGTCTCTTCCTGGGGAACCCGGAGGCAAAAATGTCAGGTGTCAATTCTCTCCATCTTAATTGTATTTGATTATAACCCAGCAAAGCTCAGCTGCAGGCAGCGGCTCGATTTCAAAGCATGTCACGCCGCTTGCTCCCCAGCACTACGTAACACATCACACAGTCACGCTTCCTAATCCAGGGCAACTAATCGGCAAGGGCTGCCACTCCAGTTTCCATGCTTCCAGTCTCTGGAGTGAATTGTAACATATCCAACCTATACTCTCCCACCAACATCATTTGTGAACTTAATCTCATGAATGGGATGGGTTGCTGGGGTGGATGGCAGGACACCCAACCCTTTCCCCATCTTGAGCATCCCTACAATAGGGTGCTCTCTTTAAATATTGGATTTTGAGTCAGGTTCTCTCAAGATTTCTACCAGCATCATGGACAACCACTGGCCCACCTGGGTTGCGTAATGCATTTGAATGCTCCAGTATGGCTCTTCACCCCTCTCAAATCCCCAGCATCCCACAATTTGGGGGGAATCAACCATCTCCCCTCCCAATTTTTCATCCAAGAAAATATTGATTATGGGCTTGTAATATTGTTCTGGAGAGTCTCCAAAACAGAAAAAAGAAGACGCTCTCAACCCTTCCTCAACAACCAGGTATGATGAAATTTCACTTTCCAAAATGGTAACCACAGTGGTATGGTTTGGCCATCCAGGATCTCAGAGAAGCCATATATATATATATATATATATATATATATATATATATATATATATATATATATATATATATCGCCTGCCAAGCCCCAATGTGTATCCATCCCTGTCCTAGCAACACAGTACACATGTAATGTATGTGTGCATGTGTGCATGAGTGCTTTCAAGTCACCTTTTGACTTATGGTGACCCCATGAATTCATAGGATTTTTGTAGTCAACTAAAACTCAATGGTGGTTTGCCTCGGTCTTTGTCGTTGTTGTGTGCTTTCACATCATTTTTGATTTATGGAGACCCTAAGGTGAACCTGTCACAGGATTTTCTTGGAAAGATTTGTTCAGAGGGGGTTGGCCTCGGCCTTCTTCTGAGGCTGTGAGAGTGTGATTTGCTTAAGGTCAGCCAATGGATTTCTATGGCTGAGTGGGGATCTACTAAAGGTCACCCACTTGCCTGCTAACAGGAGTCCTCTATGGCAGAACAGCTGCTCCCAAGTAAACAGAAATGCCCATTTCCAGTTTGGAAGTGCTTCTTGTGTGTGTTCCAAGTCATTTATGACTTATGGTGAAAGTGAACCTTTCACAGGTTTTTCTTGGAAAGATTTGTTCAGAGGGGGTGCCTTTGCTTTCCTCTAAAGCTGATAGAGGACTGTGACTTGCCCAAGGTCCCCTGATGTGTTGTCATGATGGAGCAGGAATTTGAATCCTGGTCTCCATAGTCCAACACTCAAACCATTACACTGCATTGACTCTATGTGACCGTTGGCAGGCTGAAAATCTTTGGGTGACATTTGCTGCGGTGTAATTCCTGGCTCCTTGACTGGGATTGCTGATGGAGAAGAGACAGTTTTTCTAATCCAGTATTCAGCCTATCTCAGTCTTCACCCCAAGCCCAGTACATGGGGATATCACTATGGAAGGCATGCTTTATGGCTTTCCCTTACTATTATTATTTTCTTTAAATGAAGATTCTTGCTGAGCTGGTTGCATTGTTTCAGTCTCTTGCTGAAACTATTGGAAGTGTACCTACAGCCGACTTCATTAGCAAATTAATTAGGCGACTGACTGGAGCCCAGAGATCTCATGTCTTGCTGGTCTTATTCTTCTAGGGAAATTTGGTGGAGACACTGCACCCAGATGTTTGTGTGTGTATGTGTGTTTGTTTTAGAAGAAGACAGAAAAGAACACACAAATAAATTGGCAAGAGACTATACCTGGAGGAGTGTTTGTGATACTAGGAAGGGCACCCAAGGCAGAAGACTCAGCACAGCTGGAAGGTAGCCCAGCCATCTCCAAATCTCCCATTTTAAATTTTAAATCAACTTCCCAACCTGTTTGCTTGTTATGGCTCCAGAGCAAAGCTGGGTGCAGACAACCAGGAGCCATCCAGTCAACACTTCAAAGCTAAGCGCATGATGCTGTTTGTGACAGCGCATGGAGGCCTGAAGCTTTGAAGTGAGCCTGAGAGTGCTGCCTCTCCACTCCTGCGATTTCCAAAATGCTGAGCTTAACAGAGCCTTCACACAATGAATGCATTGATTCCAATGACTCTATCAAGCTGCCTAACAGCACTGTCTACTGTTCAAGGCAGGACGAGGCACAACCGGTGTCATCTGGATATTCTGTGACTTGTCAAGGTTACCCAGTGGGTTTCCATGGCTGAGTAGAGATTCTTATACTGGCCTCCCAAAGACCTAGTCTAACACTTAAACCATTACATTGCACTGGGGCTCATAAAAAATATACCAAGGTGTAATGGGGGTTTGAGAGCCAGTGATTTGAATGTTGGACTATGACTCTGGAAACCAGAATTCAATTCCCAGCTCAGCCATGGAAACCTACTTGGTGACCTTGGGCAAGTTGCATGCTCTCAGCCTCAAGGGAAGACCATGGCAAACCCCCTCTTAACAAATCTTGCCAAGAAAACCTTTTCTTATAGGTTTTCTTAGGGTTGCCATAAGTTGGAAACAACTTGAAGGCACACAACAACAATGGGGGGGGGGGGGGGGAGTTATGTTGGTGTATGTCACCAACAGGATTCCAGGCCAGAGTTGTGTATTATAAATGTGTTACTATTAATGTATATCATTGATATAAAACTGAATACTACTTGGGATAGTCCAAACCATAGTATTCCCAATCGCCATGTACGAATGTGACAGCTGGGCTGTAAAGAAATCAGGTGGGAAGAAAATCAACTCATTTGAGATGTGATGTTGGAGAAGACTACTGAGGATACCTTGGACAGCCAAGAAGACAAACAAATGGGTCTTAGAACAGATCAAGTCTGAGCTCTCCCTTGAATCCAAGGGAGAGCTCAAAATTGAGGCTGTTTTCTTTGTCAACATCACAAGAAAGCGTGACTCACTGGAAAAAAACAATAATTCCAGGAAAGGTAAAGGGCAGAAGCAAAAGAGGGAGACA